ATCGTTATGAGTCTACCGATTAAATAGAATTTTATTATAAACAATTGCCTTGTAAATGGATTTTTTAGAGCATTCTGAATGTAAAAATAAAGCAAAAAGTGTGCAATAAGAAACACTACCTGCCAAAAAAAAGAAGTTTTGTTGAAATCGGTTGAAACATGTAGGAAATCCGATCCCATATATAGAGAAACACACACACACACACACACACACACACACAAACAAACAAACAAACAACCTGGGTTTTATAATAAGTATAACTCGATATGAATTGTCCTCCTTTCATTCTTGCGACAGCGATGCCTCTTAATTGTGTTTTCAAATTGATTTCGTGCAAAAACAATTGTGTTTTTCCTATTTTTGGCACTGTCAGAACCACCGCCAGGTAATTTTACGTAGTCCTGTGAAGTTTTGTTGAAATCGGTTGAAAAATATAGGAAATCCGATCCAATATATAAACGAACAGACACACACACACACACACACACACACACACACACACACAAAACCTGGGTTTTATAATAAGTTTGATTATCGAGGTACAAAATTAATATAACCTGGAATCCAAAGATTTACATGTCGAAGGAGGTCCGTATCTGTCGTTATAGTTAGGATAAGTGATGTTTCGTTTTGGGCAGATATAAAAACAGAAAAAAGTCAGACATAAAATGTCCTGAACTTGTAAGTCTCAAATTAATAGCTGTGTCGGAAGTCTGGGGCTTTAAGACTAGTCGTAAATCTGATTTGAGGGCGGCAGCGAAACTTTTAATAACATCAGATCTTGTTAAACGAAAAATAAGCATATAAATTGTAAAAAAAATGATTGACATGTGCCATCGAACCGTGATGAAGTTTACTGATAACGTAGACGATTCCGATGTTGATCTGATAAGGCCAAGTTGAGGGCGTTATCTTCCTCATCACTTACCGTATTGAGAAAGAATTAAAAAAAAATGCATTATGTAGATATGAACAAAAGGGTATATATAGAGATAGATATAAACAGACCGAGTTAGACAATGAAATATACATGCACACACACACACACGTGTGTGTGTGTGTGAGTGCGTGCAAATATATATAAAAATAGGAAAGAACCGTTAGGTTAATAATCCAAGTATTTTTATTTTTATTTTTAAAAAACAGTGCTCAGTACACAAGTAGAACCTAAATTAGAATGATTATTTAAACATATGATTCTAAAATTCACTTTAGGATGAAATAGAGCATGCTACTTTAATTCAATTTAATTTTTATAATAAAATTGAAGTTTTTAGCTTCTGTTTTTGAAACATGAGAAATCTTATATAGTGACGGAATCATATGTTTAAAAAATAATTATAGTATATATATATATATATATATATAATTTTTTATAATAATTTTTATTTTATATATATACACACGCTTCATCACTGATATTGAGCACTTTATCCCATAAATATAGCACACCTTAAGAGTATATTTCTTCATATGTATATATACATATATATATGCGTGTGTGTGGCGGGGGGCGTGCGTGTGTGTGTGTGTGTGTAAGTTGAAAAACTGACGGAAACCTTTCGGAATAACTTTGTCTAATTGTTTACTTACGAACTCAACATTAATAAATAAAAACCCTTGGTGTATTAGTCAATGCCGACAATCGTAACTTTACCACTTCCCTATACAAAAAAAAATCCATTGGCATGAACTCCTGTTTACTCAACTATGAAAATAAATATCCCCAGATATACAGGATAGGTGTTATAAAAAAATTAAAAAAAAAACTCAATTTATCGACCCCAAATAATATCTTCTTCGGGCACATTATTCAATAATGAACTTAGGAACATTAAACAAACTCTAATCAACAATAATTTCCCAAACCACGTCGTCCGCAACAAATAAAATTAGCCATAACAAAATTTAGAAAAAAAAAATGCCACCAAATCCCTCCCAGACGCAAACAAAAATAAAAACGTCATTAACTTATTCTATCGTCACTAAATGCAACCCCATTATAAGCAGGTTGAACATACAATTAGAAATATAATTCACCTGTACACATCACTGAATGGTCCTAACATTCATGGAAGATTTATCATCTACTACAATAATTTTGAAACATCTAACTTAGATATTACCAACATCAATGGATTTTATAAATTCTTCGATGTAACAATAATGTTTTCTATGAATTCTCATCCCCGCCTTGGAGATTGCACTATCAACATTAATAATAAAAAAAAAACACTAGATTATTGGGCAGACATGCACCACAGTCTGTCTCAGATTGGCTTGCCACCTATCGAAACATTGTGCACACATCGACCAGCACATCATGAAAGTACAACTATCCACATAGGATAAATACTAGCATATAAAACTGAAATACTATACAGCGCCCAAATGAAAAGAAAGACTGAATACCCTAGAAGCTATTATTATACAAAATAAACAGCCCACATTAAATAAAATATGCCTCCCTCTCTCTCTCCCCATATATATATAGATTGCATCTAGCATGAAACAGACTGTCGCATCTAAATGTTGACTTCTATGTTCACTTTTATATT